GGGTATAGGGGATGCTGCAGCAAAACTCTGCTCCCATTCTTTGCAGAATATTCTTTAATGTCCTTATTTACATACTCCAGTAAAACTGCCTTGATTAGCTTTTCCATTTGATTTTGAAAAAAAGTATGCAAAATTCTTCAAGCTTAGCAACAGCTTCCAACTTAATACAGTCAAAAGTCGTTAATCCGGACTCGTTGGGACTTCGGCGATTCCGGATTATAGATCATCAGTTTAAATCTGGTAAGATGACATGCAAAAATTACAACATAAAAAATGTGAAACCGTAATTTATGAAGTAAAGAACAATTATGATCTAAAGGGTATCAAAATTTACAAAAAAAAAGCTTAATATTTATTTGTTTACTTTATTAAACATTTCTTTCAATGTAAGTTCTTTAAGTTGCTTCGTTTCATGTGATAATACTCTCTCTTTAATTCTATTAAACAGACATAATTTCTTGTTTAGTTACAAAACAAAGTTCCGCTGTTCAAGTCCTATAATTGCTTTAAATCATATCAAAGATGGAGTACATCGACATGAAATACTACATTTAGTAAGGAATTATAAGCCAAATAAAATAAAAACATCTGCCGTGAAGATAAGGATAGTGCTGACAGATCAACTTCCAATTCATTACGCGCCACGGCGTTTCCCCCCCTCCCCCCGCCGCAGAGCAGCGTGAAATTGATAAACAGATATCAGATTTCGAAACATACTTTCGCTTTCTAAATCCTTTATATATTAGTAGATATATATCGGAATTCTATTTGGCATAATCGAAAGTTCAAGCTTACTTTATAAATGCTCTAACGTCTGCAAAAAAATAATAAGCCGGATCCAATTCGAAGATTAAGGAACAACGCAATCTGAACATTAACTGAATTAGATAATTTTAGCTTAGCTTATACCGTCCGTTATACATAAAACGCGCATGCGCGCACACATATATGCAGCCGTAAAGGTCTTACGCGCACGCGTAAACGCCTATGCGCGTACGTCAAAGCGACGCATGCGCAGAAAGTTTGTAGCCTTGAGGTCCGGATTATGGGTGTCCGAACTAACGACTTTTGACTGTAATAATGCAAAAATGAAAGCTTATGGATATGGTGTCATATCACTTGAAATGCGAGTACAGGGTTCATGTAAAACAGCTTCATAAAAAATGTACTGTATGCCCCTGATGCAGGAAGGAATTTATTTTCTGTAAGCCAGGCACTAGATCAGGTGTTGACAACCTTGTAGCTATGGTGTGCCAAACCAATCTTTCGATATGATTCGGGATACTGCACAGTAGGAAATATTTGAAAAAATTGGATTCCTGTGGTGATGCATGCAGAGTTAGAGAATAGAGAAGAAGAATACAGATTTAGAGTTCTATTATATATTAATTATACATCACTTAAAGATATTTATTAACATAAAAATAAACAACATAAAATATAACCATTCTTTTGACACAAATAAAAAATTTAAATTGTGCATATATCATGTATTATGTATCTTTTAAACCTATTTATTAAAAAACAATAAATGAAATAAAATATAAATATTCCTTCAAAATAGTTAAATAAAAAAATTTAATTTTAATATCAACCTTATTCCTGTGACAGTCTACTTAATATCACAATATCAAGGTATAATTTGCCATTGTCAGTTTGACACATGGTTCTGAATATTCAGTTGTTAAATATCTTTTTTGTGGATTCAAAATATTTTTCATATGAGAAAAGATTTGTTCATATAGATATAATGGAACCAAAAGTGAAAAGCAGAGCACATGCAATTTTCTTCAAACAGTTAAATCTCTCCAGCACTAACATCCAGCAATTTATCATTACAGTTGTCTTCCAGATTCTTTCACAATTCCATAAATTTGCTTTCTATAATTCTGAAGATGTTAGTTCAGTAAATTCATGTCAAATTATCAGTTTCTATCCACTCAAAAATATAGATTAAATCGGATGAGATTATTAATCGATATATTAAATCTGGTTTGATTAGGAAGTAAAATAAAGTTATACAAGTCTTTGCATCTTTTGTAAAATTTCTCCTTCAACGTAGGTTTGAAACCTACGTTGAAGGAGTTCAAAGTCATCTTTGTCTCAGGTCGATGTATTTGTAAGCACTTTATGTTTGGGAAGTATTTACAGGTACTACAGTCAAAAGTCGTTAATTCGGACACCCATAATCCAGAATGATCTATAATCCGGACCTCAAAGCTTCAAACTTTCTGTGCATGCGTCGTGCGGATGCATGCGCGTAAGGCCTTTACGGCTGAGAATATGCTTGTGCGCGTGCACAAAATACGTTTATGAGTGCGCGTTTAATGTATAACAGACGGTATAAGCTAAGCTAAAATTATTTAATTATCTATTTCAGTTAATGTTGCAGATTGCATTGTTCCTTAATCTTCGAATTGGATCTAGCTTATTATTTTTTGCAGAGTGTTAGAGCAATTTTATAAAAGTAAGCTTGAACTTTCGATTCTGTCAAATAGAATTTCTGATATATGTTTATTTAATATGTAAATGATCTACAAAGCGAAAGTATGTTTCGAAGTTCATTAAACAAAAAGTGGAATTGCTACAAAAATTGGATAAAGGCATATCCTTTGTTTATCTAAACTTTAACGTTTGTTTATCTTTGTTTATCTTTAACGCGGCGGCGCTGCGCAATTAATTGGAAGTTGATCTGTCAGCACTATCCTTATCTTCAGAGCAGATGATTTTATTTTATTTGGCTTATAATTCCTTATTAAATGTAGTATTTCATCTCGATGTACTCCATCTTTGATATGATTTAAATCAAATTCCTCGTCATTATAATTCACTTCCGATAGCGAAGAAAGTGACAGAGGTTATTGAAAACGAAAAAATTTTAATTGACAAATTAGTCGGTATTCTCGACACAGCAATAATAGGACTTGAACAGCGGAACTTTGTAACTGAACAAGAAATTATATCTGTTTAAAGAATTAAAGAGAATGTATTATTACATAAAAACGAAACAACTTACATTGAAAGAAATGTTTAATAAAGTAAACAAATAAATATTAAGCTTTTTTTTTGTAAATTTTGATACCCTTTAGATCATAATTGTTCTTTATTTCATAAATTACGGTTTCATATTTTTAATTTTATAATTTCTGCATGCCATCTTACCAGATTTAAACTGATGATCTATAATCCGGAAAAATCGATAATCCGGAATCGCCGAAGTCCCGACGAGTCCGGATTAACGACTTTTGACTGTATCAACTCTTACTTCAATTGGACACTCAAATTTTGTATATGATTGAAACCAGTCAGTTTTGTTAGTAATATACTGAGTAGCTCCAGTGTCGATTACCCATGCATTATCATTAGACATAATGAGATACTCACTAATAAAAGGTTCATCATAGTTGGACTTTTCATCATGGTTAACTGTCTGGATTTGCAATTCTTTTTAAAGTGACCGTTTTTATCACATTTAAAACATTTATACTGTTTTCTTTTCTTAGTAACAGGTTCATTTTGTCTTGAAAATGCGTGCTTACTTGGAGTTTTCCCAACACTAGCAACACTAACCATTAAAACAGCAAGTTTACTGTCCCTAAATTGCTCTGAAATCTTTCTCTGCTCTTCTGAAATTAGCAGTCCCTTCAATTCCGGCAGTATTTGCTGTTCTTCTGGTCTTGCACACTAAGCCATTTTTAGTGGTTCAAATTCATTAGAGAGAGTTTCTGATAGTGTATTCATAATAAGTCTTTTTGCTTAAACTGTCCATTCCTGATAACAGATGTTTTAATTTTGTTATAAACATGGCTATTGTATCTGTAGGATCATGCACAAATGATGAAAACTGCACCTGGCATGTATACTGTGCAAAAGCTTCTTTTTTTCCCCTTAAGTGAACTTTCAACCATCAGCTTCCATCACACCCAATTTTGTGATCCTAGAAGTTCGTTTGTAGTAAATATTTCAGTCATTACAATGAAACTCATTTTCACTTCTGATGAATTCACACAGTTATGGTTGACAAAAAATTTCTCAGAACGCAGCTAAAGTTGCACTGGCAGCCATAACCTCTTAAAGTATCATTAGATCAGTGATGCAGAGCTACATTAAATTCAATTTATTTAACATTAAACAGCTAGGAAAGCATTTATTACATAAAGTGTGGAGTGCTGACGAAAGGTAATATTACGTTTTATTTTCAGAGATGTTTTCCTTTGAAGAATACGATGCTGCCAGATCAGTTACACAAAATTAGATACAGCACATGTAAACAAATATTAATATAAGAAAAAAGATAAAATACATTTCAGTAAAGCAATATAAAAACAAAAGCATAAAAGAAATTTTAGTTCACAATATTAACTAGCTGAATTTGTCCAACAAAACAACGAATAGATTGGTACAGCAATCTGCTAAATGTATGTACTCGTAGCATTCCGAACAAAAAGCAAGTCTGATTGTTTATTAAATAAAGAGGCATCAGTTTCTTCAGAATTCTGCAAAAATGATTTGTGCAACTTTGCATATTTACTAGATTTGCTGAGAAATGAACCCGAAAAAAATTCATTTATTCCCAGATATGTGGTAGGTCACCAAAAAATCGCAAATGTTCTGATTTTTATGCAGAGAAACACTACATGATGAAAGGTGTATAATGGAAATATAATATTAACAACTGTTGATAAAGTGTTAAAAACTGAAAATTGGTTTGAGGGAATGCATATTAAGGCAGATACAAGCTGTGGAGAATTACAGTCTGTCTGATGCAATTTTAAATGGGATTGATAAACAATATCTGCTAGTAATTAAAAACATCTTGTTTAACCAGTCTACAACACAAAAAAACATATTTTACCCCCAAGGAACCTAGGAACTGTTGGTGGTGAATCAGTGAGTGCCAGCTGATAGCTAGGTACTTCATTTTTATTATTAATTAGAAAAGATGTTATTTTTTATGCAGAATGTGTATTTCATAATTTGAATATTCATTTCAGGATAATCAAATATGTGAATTTCATCAGCTTGGTTGTTTGTCATTTTGATTAAACATGTCAGCTTCTAAGCCTTCCTCTCGTGCAGCTGCAGTAAAGAGAGATGGAAATTTCCGCTATGCCACTAGACTTCTGGCATTGGAGAAAGGAAAACGTGTGAATCATCCTAAGGAAACAAAAGAAACAAATGCTCTCAAAGCATGTGAATGTTTGTTTAAATCTGATAGCTGGAAAGGATCAAAGATTTCTCAAAATTCAAAATTCCCTGTCAAGAAATCAACAAGCAATAAATGTTGTGCTGTAAAAGACAAAAAGAAAATAACTTCTGCAAATCATCATGAAAAAGTTGTCATTGTATCCAAGAGATCATCATCTGTCAGTGTTGTCAAGTCTTGTAGTTTGCGAAAATCAGTTTCAGTTAAAAAAGTTAGCTATTCCACATCTGTAGTGTTATCTTCGGATGAAGACAGTGATAGTGAAGAAGAATTGGGAGATGATGATGATGATGATAATGATAAAGATGATTACCCCAAAAAGAAAAGAACTATTTTGAAACATACTACTTCAAAAGTTAAATCAAGTTACCGTCAGCCTAAAAAATCAGAGAGATCAGCAAGAAAGGCTAAAGCAATTAAGTTATTATGTGAGAAATTATCTTCAAATAATAAACGAAAAGATGTTTCTCCTACGCGAGAACTAAGGCCAAGATTTCCGTACAGTATGCTTCAAGAATGGCCTACTGCTAGAGCTCATCGTATGGCTAGCTTAAATGCATTAGCTAAAGTTCATGTGCTTTATGAAAATGAAGGACGGACATCAGGAGAAAATTTAAATGATGCAGATGAGAATACTTTGATTGATCTTTTAAATGAAGAAAATTCTGATGATGAAGATGATGTGATAATAAAAAAAGAAACAAAATCTTCTGTTAATTCTACCTACAAAAAGAATGAGAAAGCTAAAAGCTCTGAATCTGATAAGGTAAAAATTGACAAAAAGAACAAAAATTCCATTGCAGAAAATAAGATTCCAAAAAAAAGCAGGAAAAGAAAGGTACCTGAAGTGGAAATAATTGATACCAGAGTGTGTAAGAGAATGGCTAGCTTAAATGCTCAAGCTATATTAGCTGCAAGTTACTTACAGGAGCCAAAACCAAAGAGAATTTCAAAAAAGTATGAAAAATGTGATAGCTCTTCTGATACTGATGAAAAAGAAGTAAGTCTTGAATCCAAGTGCTTGTTAAAGATTACAGAAACAGAAAAAGAGGATAAAATTATTAATTTGAAGGATGCAAAAGAAAGCTGTGATAAATTCAAATCCGAAACTGTAGCTGATTCTGTGAAAGAAAAAAAAAGTATTGATAAAAATTTACATGTGTCAGATGTTAGCAAAACTACAACCTCAGAAACTCCATATCACAGTAGTTGGACTGTTGAATCTGACATAGCAGTATCGAAAAGTTGTGAAGAAGAAGTAATTCCTCATAATGTTGAAAAAAACAGCGTAGTGTCATCAGCTGCCTCTACTAAAGTAGGAGTAACACAGTACACAGAAGTAAGAAAAGTCCAAATTAATACAAGAAAGGATATAGAAATCAAAGAAGAGAGTAAATCAGAAAGAAAAATTGAGAGAATTCTTTCAAATGATGATGTAGCTATTACTCAGATGTATCGTTACCAGTCCAAAAATGCCAGTGAAAGCTACTGTGTCCAGATGCAAACTACATATAAACCAGTATCTAAAAACCTTACACCATCAGCCATAACAGTATCACCAAGCAGCCCAATGCATCACCATATTGAGCCAGTATTTACTGGGAGGCCAAACTATTATGGATGTGGAAGTCATAGCCCCATAATACCTCCTCAGCCTTATCATGTAAATCCTAATGGAAACATGCCTCCTATTATGAGTATGGATCATCGACTCCCTCGTCACTATGGTGGTAGTGCATTCACTGTACCTCATTATCGACATCCTCAACATATGCAGTTTGCACGCAGTGATTATGGTGAGTTTTTTATTTACTTTATTACGTAACTCTTCATTTGAACCCTTTTCGAGTTTCTACAATATTATTGATTAAGATGTCTAACTGTTTGTTTGATAGATTGCTTTAATCATTCCAGTGATAAAGGCTAGGAGGTTTAGCTACATATTTTAGGATTTTATATTAGCAGAGATGCAGATATGTGTTTTATGAATGACTAACAATAATAAAAAGGAGCAATATCACTTAACTTTTTAAAGCAGTTTACCTAATGAACACATAAAATGTGTTATTGTTCAGAAAGTTATATATGTAAGATTATTAAAAAAATATGCAAAACTAGATTATAATTTAAATTATCAATAACCCCTTAATTCCTCATTTTTAGTTAGGGATTTCCCCTCTCTGTTCTAAAAATAATAATAATGTGTTTTGGACTGTATCATTTCTAGATCAGTACATACATATGACTTAGTAATGCTGATGACATTACTAATTCAGAACTTAAACAAAACTTTCTCTTAATAAACTGCCATATTGGATAACTGCACACTTTTGCCTCTACCTCTGTTCTTGCTTCAGTGCTGCATTGCTGCTCTTTTTCTATCACAGCAATATCAAATGTTCTTGAATACGCATGATTAGAGTACCAAGTGAATGCCAATTAAATAAAAAGTTCAATATTTTAATCTACCTCGGCAGCCAAGTCTGCTTTGCTCTTTAATGTGGATCAATATTCTACACCATCATTACTTGTAAGATTAATTGCTTCATTACAGTGCCAAAATGCTATATATCTCCATCTATGTCATCAACTGTTTCTACAATATTATTGCATCTAAGTTCTGCTTTGTTTCAGAACATTAATATCATTCTTAAGGCAAGATACTGATTTGAATTTGAAAAAAATGCATCTATAGATAATTCATTTTAATTTAATGTAGTGAAATGTATAATAGTTAGAGATCTTAATTATTGCCTATTTGCTGGCCTAGACAGTTTCAACGCAGAGGCCTAGAATTTTTTCTGTTGTTTATTCTTTGGAATAACACAAAGTCATCTGAAGTTATTTTAAGGATAGTGAAATAAAAATGAAAATTGTCTACTTCATATATAGTGAGAGGTATAGTGTGAAAATAGCTGAATAAATATGAAAATAGCCTCTTCCTCCAACCTCCTCAGATCAGAGTAAGCATGCCGTTCCCCCCAAAAAAGTGCTTACTTTCAATAGTTCCATACTAAATAATTTATCTTTATAATTTAATCAGCATTGCAATTTTTTGCTATAATTTGAATTGTTGCAAATTTCAGATGTATTATAAATTATGATGTTTTGCCCCTTGACAGACATCTACATCTTTGAGCTTCTTTTTTTTTTTTCTGGGGGGGGGGGGGAGGCATGTCCTGAATGTAGTTAAAATTTCTGTTTATTCTCTTCCTCTCCTCCCTTTAAAAACACTATCAGAATTTTTTTTTGGGGGGGGGGTGGAGGGGTGTGTCAAATAATATTTATAATGGATGTGTACATTAAAATTACTTGGTATTTTATCATTAAATTCACCCTTTTAAGTTTCTAAGTTTGACCCATGAAAGGGTTATTAATAATAGTAATATTGTTTGTTATCTTTGGTCATATTAGCATTTTTAAATGAGAAATGTGTTATGTAATTAATTTAATTAAATTTTAAAAGATTTTACATAAATTTTCATATACTCTGTTTAAATGAACAATGCCTTTGTTTTAAGATACTTTTCTGGGGGGGGGGAAAAAGGCAGATAAAATTCATGTAAAAATCATAATTTCTACAAAAAGGATATTGCAAAATTTATGTTTTATTTGAAAGTCTAAACTGGAGCTGTTGCTAAAAAATTTGAATGCTCTAATTATCATATCAGAAGCATGCATGCAAAATTGTGATTTATTATCTAAAAACGATTGCAAGATAATTCTGCTTAAAAGTCAAACCTAATTGATTGATATTGATTAGAATTCAAGCTTATAATCTGTTTTAAATTTTAAATGAAATTTCAAAACTTTTTAAATTGCTAAAAGTAAAGAAATATTTATTATTTACTGTTTTTTACTATAACGTAAAAGAAAAAATGGTACATCCTTAATGGACTCCAAAATTTAATCACTAATCAACCAAGATTTAACATGTAGCAAGGTATAAGAATACATGGTGAAATTGTGTTGAGATATCTGGCTTGAATAACGATTCAAACATGGGGGCAGCTGCAATACTGAAAAAAATATCATTGCAAGCATTTAACTCTGTTTTAGATAAGTATATGTATTGCATTTATTGTTTTTGTAGCATTTTATTAATGTTATTGAAAACATGTATTTTGTTAATTATAAATTTTGAATTTGAATAATAATTTTTAATTTTAAATTCCCTTCTCTTGATTTTTGAATGTATAAATTATTAATCACTGAATGAAAGTTTTGCATTTGCAAAATATTTTTGTAGAAAGTCTCTCTATTAAGTTTAACTGCATAATTTTGAAATTAGATGGGTATTTCAGCATACAAGTTCAATTCATTCCGTGACCGAGCTCATAAGTCAGCCTAATTATATCCTGAAACAATTTCTCCCATTAAAATGCACTTAAATACCTTTAGTCTATTCCAACCCTACCCCAATTGGTCATCTCCCCCATTTTTTGTGTGTTTAATATTTTTAAATGAGAAAAGGTGTACTGTTTTATACAGAAAACTAATAAAAGCATTATGAAACATAATACCAACATATAAAAGAGAATATAAAGAAATAGTTTGATTTTATGAAGTTTACTGTAATTATATTATATCATACCATCATTATTCTCTATCAGTTTTTGCTACCTATTTTACCACTTTTCCCTCACTTTAAAATGTGTTTCAGTACAAATATTTCTAAAGAAGTTTGTATCATCTTTAAGAAAGCTTCTGATATATATTAAACTGATTAAAATGTCTATGAACAACAGCACTATTGCGTGACATGTTGAAATTTCTTTTTTTTAATGAACTTGACACCTGCCTCCTACTTTCCCAAAATGTCCATAATTTCATCTTCAGAGATAGACTTCTTTAAATTTACCTCCTCCTCATCATTAATTTCCTCCAAAATCTTTATAGGTTTCTCAGTCTGTTGTTCATTTAAGTCTTATGTCATAAGTTCTCCCGAGTTACCCTCAATGAGTTTGTTTATGTCTCCCTCACTACTTCCAGACTCTTGACCTTTCCAGGGGACACAATCTGCTTTAGCAATTCTTCTATTGGTTCAGGTTTGAATCCTTCAAAATCTTTTTTGACACAGCCCCATAGCCATTGATGAAAAGATTTTAAAAATTTGATATCACCTGTTGGTCATTTGAACTCTCTGAGGATATTATTTTCAAAGTTCAGTGAGTGTGCAGGAGCATTGTCAAGAAGAGCTTGAAGATTAATAATTTTCCTCCAAGTATTTTTTAATAGCATGACCAAAGAGCAAGTTGATTCACTCAACAAAGAACTGCTTGATGATGACCTCTTCACATAACTTAAAATTTTGTTATTGTAATTTTATGAGTTTTATATGATCTGAGGATTTCTGAGAGGTATATGAGCAGTGACTTTATTATGAAGTTGTGATTTGCACACAATGCCAGTGTGAACCTATCTTTCATGGGTTTATGTGCCAGAATCGTTTTCTCCTGTATAGTTATGTATACAGTGCAAAGTCTTTAATCCGGACTCTTCAGGACTTCAAAGATTCCCAATTAGGGTTTTTTCTGGATTATAGATCATCAAATTAAATATGGTAAGATGGCATGCAGAAATTATAAAATTAAAAATATGAAACCATAATTTATGAAATAAAGAGCAATTATGATGTAAAGGATATCAAAATTTACAAAAAAAAAAAAAAAAAAAAAAAAAAGCTTTTTATTTATTTGTTTACTTTATTAAACATTTCTTTCAATGTAAGTTGCTTAAGTTGCTCTTTTATGTGCTAATACCTTCTCTTTAATTCTATAAACAGACATAATTTCTTGTTCAGTTACAAAGTTCCGCTGTTCAAGTCCTGTAATTGCTGTGCCGAGAATACTGACTAACTTGTCAATCGAAATTTTTTCCTTTTCACAACCTCTCTGTCACTTTTTTCATGCCTTTATCCATTTTTTGCAGCAATTCTACTTTTTATTTGATGGACATCGAAACATGCTTTTTGCTTTGTAGATCCTTTGGCAGCTCCAGAATCGGAATCTCTTTTTGACATAATCGAAAGTTCAAGCTTACTTTTTATAAAATTTCTCTAACAGTCTGCAAAAAGTAATAAGCCGAATCCAGTTAGAAGATTAAGGAACAGTGCAATATGCAACATTAACTGAAATAGATAATTAGATAATTTTAGCCTAGCTTATACTGTCCGTTATACATTAAGCTTGCATGCGTAAATGTAACGCATGCGCAGAAAGTTTGTAGCTTTGAGGTCTGAATTATAGATCATTCCGCTTTATGGACGTCTGAATTAAAGACTTTGTACTGTGTTATACATCTAAAGTGGCATTCTCTTTTAGAAGCCTTGTCTCATCACAGTTGAAGATTTGCTGGAGGATGTAACTTTTGGCTTCTTTCTATACCACATCAATTTCAAGGATGTTCTCCACTGCCTCATGTCTTAGCTTTCTGCTTCGCCAAGCTTGATGATGGATCTAGTTCCTTTTTTGAACTTTTAAAACAAGCCAAAACTCTCCTTGAATGTCTCTTCATTCATTTTTTGAAGAGCCTGGGAGCGTCCTCAAAAATTTGGCATATACAGCTCATGGCTTCTCACAGATGATTGCCTTAGTCACAATATTTTCTGTGAGCTGATACTCCATCAGCAACACCAACAACTGAATCGCACCATGTCATTTATAAAAGCCCAGCATTTCAATATTGTTGCAATGCCCTTGGTGACACTATAGCTTTTATTGGCTCCTTCTGCTTCAGTATTATATATATTACAAAAGTTCTACACTACTGTTCATATTTATTTATGATTTCAGTCTTTAATTCTAGGAACATCATCAACTTCTTCACATCACTCACTTAGTGTCCATGTTGTATCTTAATAATAATTATAAATATATATATTTATCTTAATACTATAATTATAATTATTATATGATTACATTAATTATGAATATATATATAATAATGTCAAAATGACTGCACAAACTCGAAGAATGCAAGAAGGGAAAACAAAATATTATAGAGATGCATCTAGTACAAGTAACCATGGGAACTAAACAAGGAAGCCGGCTGTTTGCTTTCCTTACAGTGCTAGTAGTGGTGCAGCTAACCTCTTGCATGGACCTGTGTAGATGCAAGAATATGCTCAAACATCAACTCACATCCCAAGAATCTCATATCCAGAGGTACCACTGTACTCAATTACAGGGTTCATATTGTCCTTAAGAGTCCTTAAAAGTTTGTAAGTTTTTTTAATTGATATTTAGTCCTTAAAAGTTCATAATTTTGGCCAAAACTGGCAGAAGGTCCTTAATTTTAATCTAAAATTTCTATATGTTTCTACAACTGCCATTTTGAATGTAGATGAGCATTTTGGAGGAATATTTTTAACGTTTCACTGATAAATATGGTCATCTTTGAATGGATAAATGGATTAGAATTTGTTCCTGTTTATGATATAAACGGTGCGATACTTAAGTTTCCGTGCAAGAAGTGAAACATAAGTATTTCAAAATTATTACATTTTTTTAATGAAGAGATCTTAAACAACATTTTGTTTTTTAGGATAGGAATACATTTATTAAACGGTTCTAAATATGACGATTAATAATATTTTCTCGAATTTAAGATCAGTTTCTATAGATAATTTTTAATTTGGAGGTCTGGAAATTTTTTTACGTTTTTTTTTAATTATAACATTAATGAATTTCATTAAAATAATGATAATATATTGAAATTATATTTAAGAAATAGCTTTAAAATATAGCATTTTTATTTTTTGCTGTCATATTAGAAAGTGACATTACTTTCCCTTTTGGCAATTTGTTTACAATATTTTTAATCTGAAAAATAAACAAGCTAATAAATGCTATAAAGCACAATTTATGAAGCAGTTCTTAGCAAGAGCAAAATAGCTGTGTAATTAGGTAAAAATGTCTTCTTTTTAATTTTTCAAGTAGTTTTATTTTTTCCTTGTAATTGTCTCAGAATATGCATCAGTTTTCTCTATAAAATTAATTTTACACTTTGTTGCCTCATTTTTTCTCCCGAAATATTTCTGTCTTTTTGCTGTTACAGAATTTATAGGGTTAATTTTTCTTTAGGATTTTAAACATTGCAATTTGGGAAGTTTAGAAGGATTTGAAGCAAGATTTGTAGACCCACAATTCTACAAGATTCCAGAAAATTGCGACCAAATGAAAAATATCATCATGGTATTAACATGTAATGGATGTATTTTACTGAAAGTTTGTGTTAAGTTTCTTACTTTTTCGAGAGGTTTTTGAAGAATAATGAAAATATAATATTTTAATGTTTTACTTCTGATTCTAAAGTCTTTTTCTTTATTTGTCTTTCCTTTATTCTCTCTACTTTTCACTAGACACAATCATGGAAAATATGGCAAGCATTTCTAGAAACAAATCACATGGACAGGCATTTCTAGAAAGGAAATTTCATATTAATAAAGAATTTGAAAACTGACAATTTCAAAGATTCATCATGTTTGTCTCAAATGCATCAAACACAGGGCTGTTGCTTGGCATTTCGCCACTTGATGCAATCTCTGTGGTTCCTAAATTCTAAAAGTTTTGCCATTTCTAAATTTTCTTTACTGGCGTATAACTAAATTCTAAAAATTCTGCCACACCGGCTTTGTAACCAGCCCTGACCATATAATCATTTTTTATTTATTCTGCGTGTTCATATTACTGAAGAAATAAAAATGAGCAGCTTCTTCTATACATTTTAAATGCATGTAGCATTTTAGAATAACAAATACCTTTACTTAAATTCTAAAAATGAAGGGAAAAAGTGTTGAAGAAAGAAAAATAATCTTTGAAGCTATGTACAGTTATTATTATGTAAATTAACCAGTTAGTCACAAATAATTATGTTTCAATTTATAATTTCAACCTTATGTTCTTGTTTATAATTATTTATAATTTCAGCCTTTACCATAACTTCTCCACCAGAATGCAAATCAGTTCGATAGTTTAAAAAAAAACTATCGAACTGATTTGTACCTTAAAAAAACTATGAACTGATTTGTATTACTGAGGTTTTTCGTTTGTAAGACAAAGTTTGTTTCTGGCCTCCACTTGCATGATGATGAATTCCTGCAGGCTCTAATAATTTGTAATAATTTATCTTTCTCTTATCGCTGCGACAATTGAATATGTTATGATGAAAGAGTTACTGAGCTAGCTTAGATTAAAATTAAATTGTGTAGTCTTGGACTACTAGTCCACATTTTTAGCTTGAATTTAACTGTTCCTGATTAATTACATCACCATGAGATCTAGTTGATTTTGTTAGCATAAGAACGTACCTTTATGTTTTAAGTTATGTTTAAATAAAAGGCTATTTAAACCTTCCTCTGACTATGTAGTTATTTTCACACATGGCGATAATTTGCTTCTTGTCCATCAGGGGTTTTGGACTTTTAACCTTTATAAGATCAAGTAAAACCTCAAGGTACTTTGTCAAGAGATTCATAAGGTAGGAGATAAAGCACAGAGAAACTAGTGAGAACATTGGTTTATGTGTTGAAACAAATTTCTGATTGTTAGAAAAGATGCTTAATGAGAAGGAAATTGATATAAATTAGCCAAAAATGTCTCGAAAGGCTTCAGATTGAAAAAACGCATAAATATTTAGTTATCTGTTGTTGCTACGAAACATAAGTGTTTTGTAGCTTTTAACATGTAATTATCCTAATATCGTTTAAGAATCAGTGTCATTAATTACATTTATTTTAAACTGTGAAATATTATCAGATTGGGATTTTAATAGAGCTTTCTTAACAAATATTGTTAAAAAATAAATAAAATTTAATAGTGGCCATGTAAATCTATAATGACTAAGGATATCTAACTACCTAATTTAATTATTTGTAACTAGCTGCTCATCCTTAAAAGTTAGTTATCTCTTCGTATTGAATTGAGTTATTGCCTTTCATTAATCCTTACTACTGTAGTCACAAGATACTGTGTAAAAATGTAAAAATTAATCTAAAACTTATTCATTGTCTCTAGTGAGACTTAAAGTAATACAAAACAACTTATTACCACTAATGCTTTAGTGCTTAGTGGAACCTTAAAGTATATTAACTGTGTTAGAACCCCAGGAACTCTACACGAAGCTATGACACTAACTGTGTTGGACAGACAGAGCACAACTAACTTTAACAGCTTGCCAACCATGCCTACATCAGGGTTTTAGGTTTGTTCTAATCAACAGGTCTCGCTCTAGTCAAGTAGTAGTGGTGGCAACATCCAATCTTCTGTTATGAATCATGCTGATTATGATTTTGCTTCTCATTTTAACATATGTTGTTTGACATACAATCTACCTACTATTTACATAACCTCTAGACTGAGCAAGTGCATGACGAAATGAGACATAAAGGAAAAAATCAGCATAAAGTTAATCGTTAGTAAAATGTAAATTAAATGTCGCTAATATTTTTTGAAAGTCTAACTGTTGTAAGTGTGAAATATTTAATTCTATTTGATAATAAGTTGATTTTATTCTCAAATGAGTTTTATAATTATGTTTAATAAATAATGCATCCTACTTATGGATCTATTTTATTCTTAGGATGGTATTACAAAAGTGAAGTTCAGGTGTAGATAATATCTGTATTTGAATTTGTTGAGTTCCCATTTGGTGATATGTCCTCAATTTTTTTTTCATTAATGGTTTTTTGATGGTTTAAAAATGCTTAATTTCCATTTGCAGAAAATGTGTACGAACCCCTGTATTACTGTGTTATTTAGGGGTTGGTAAATTATAATTAATTTAAGAGAATAAAAATTTCTTTGTTGTATTTACATGGGAAATAACGACATATTAATATTGAAAATGAAAACAAATTGTGTCATGGAAATAATTGTAGGTTTATATACTTTTTTAGGATATTACCAGCCTGCTGGACCTCTGATACAGCCACTTCATGATCCGTGCACTATTCATAAGCCAGTACCATATCATCCTCAACCACATCGTCCTCAGCCACCTCAAAGGCCTCAACCGCAAGCATCACATTTAGATGTTTATCCTCCTTGTGATTCTCATCAGCCTCATCAAAACAATTCTCCTATAATTTCTTCTAACCATCCTCCAATATCACTCCCACAAAATTCTGTCATACCCTCTTGTCCTCCTTTATTGGAAGCAACTACTCAAAAACCACAGACATCTTTGCATTATAATGCACCTCAGCCATCTGAGAAATCTCAAGAAAAATGTTCAAATGACATCAGTTCTTCATATAATCGAACATCAAAGCCACTGCCCTCCTCATCACTACATTCAGCATACTCATCACAGAATAATTATAGAGATTTTCAGAGAGAGAAAGAAGTATCAAATTTGTATGGAAATTATCCTCCACTGCCTTATGATCAAAAACTCTCCAAACAAAGTCCTTATGATTCAGTTTCACAGTTTCATGATTCTAATAAGAACAAGTTAAGTTCTCACTTACCTCATCCAGCATCTCAAGAATCAGTTCACTCCCATAATGCTGCAGGTGATTCTCATCGGGAAAATACACATAATATGCCACCACATTCTGGAGGGAATTTTAAGCACTTAAGTGATATCATACATTTTAAAGAACCGTCATGGGGTATTAAAACAAATCATGATGGAATCTCTGATGTACCAGTAAGTTTTCTACCTTTCCAGAATGAACCAAATAAAGAAATGCCTTCTAACGATATACAAGAAACTATTAGGTACCCATTACGTCCACCATCTGTTATTGAAATTGTAGAAGATAATTCTAGAGATACCAAAACTTATATTCAGTTAGAAGTACCAAAAAACAGTCATCGGGAGAAAATTGTTGTTGTAGATGTAGAAAATGATGATATAGAGAGAAAATGTGATGAAACAAGAATTGGTGTTAAACCAGTTCGTGATAGCAACTCATCTCAGGAAAACATTATATCTCCAGAAAAGAAAGAAGATTCAGTAAAATTAGAAGTAAAGTCTACTGAAGAAAGTATTGTAGTGAAAAATACTAACTCTATCCCAAGTAAAAATGAAGAGCCTGTTAAAGAACTGCCAGATATTATGGTATTGGAAGTTAAGAAAAGGAAAGAATCTGCTGTTGTTCGGAGGGCAAGATTACATGGAAAGCAAAGGACGTTTAGAGATTGTTACAACAGACCATTAGCACAATTGTCAAAAACAAAGAAAAGTGATAATTTAGTGGCTTCAGAAGAACATCTCAATAAGCATTTGCAGCCATTGGTTTCATTACCTCGTCTCGTTCTTCCAAAGATAATAGAGAAGAAACCATCGCATGGGTGGTCTTGGGAAGGCACTCCAGTTGATAAACAAATCTATATATCAGTAAGTATGTATAGATTATAAGTAATATATTGTACTTTGGGACATAAGGCGTATTTGCACTGTATAAATTTATATTCCGTACAATAATTGTTACTGGACAATTATTGTATGGCTAGAGTAAAAAACTGGTATTTTATGTAGCATAAATACAGGCCAGCTTCAATTAAGTAAATGTCACAAAGCCATTCCTCTCTTTGCAGGTTGCTTTAGTATGATTTTCCAATGTACAATAGAATTTTGATAATGGGCAAATATAGGGTTTAAGAGTTAATATAGATGAATTAATTTCGTCAATTATAGGTCATGTATTTTGCTTATATTTTCTCCTTTCTGATTTTTGTATTCAATCTGACTTGTTTGCACATAAATATCTTAAATATAGTTACACTTTAAGAATTATTTAATCAAGATTGAATGCAAAACTATATTTATTGTATAATTTCATGCATAGAAAATAATATCGGTACCAGGAATAAAACAGAGGAATTCTGTGGGAAGTAAATAATACCTTTCGTGGAAAGTTTTGTTGGTGAATTAAATATTCAATAACAAAATTGCTTTAGAATTAATTTTTACAGGAGAATAAATAAATAAACTGTTTACAAAACCCCAGCTGTAAAGTTTCTCCAAGTTAATATCTGTACCCTAATCCTGTCATCATATTTTGCTTATCTGCCAGAATTGAAATTTGGGCTTTATTGGATAAGTATTCCTCTCTAGCCCTTTTCTCTACCATATTTTCCATTTTTAACATCAGAAAAGTTTTTGGAAGGATTATTTTCAAGAATTTATTCCTATTCATTGTCAGTGTAAACATGCTTTACACAAACCAACTACAGTACAAAGTCTTTAATTTGGACGTCCATAATCCAGAATGATCTATAATCCGGACCTCAAAGCTACAAACTTTCTGCGCACACGTAAATGCATAATGCGTTTACTTTAATACCTTTATGCATGAGCATATGCGTTTACGCATGCGCATAATACGTTTACACATGCGCGTTTAATGTATAATGGACGGTATAAGCTAGGTTAAAATTATCTAATTATCTATTTCAGTTAATGTTGCAGATTGCGTTGTTCCTTAATCTTCTAATTGGATTCGGCTTATTATTTTTTACCGTCTGTTAGAGCAATTTTATAAAAAGTAAGCTTGAACTTTCGATTATGTCAAAAAGAGTTTCTGATTCTGGAGCTGCCAAAGGATCTACAAAGCAAAAAGCATTATTCGATGTCCATCAAACAAAAAGTGGAATTGCTGCAAAAAAATGGATAAAGGCATGAAGAAAGTGACAGAGAGGTTAGTGAAAACGAAATAATTTTGATTGACGAGTTAGTCGGCATTCTCGGCACAGCAATTACAGGACTTGAACATCGGAACTTTGTAACTGAACAAGAAATTATGTCTGTTTATAGAATTAAAGAGAAAGTATTAGCACATAAAACGAAGCAACTTAAACAACTTACATTGAAATAAATGTTTAATAAAGTAAACAAATAAATATTAAGCTTTTTTTTTTTTTGTAAATTTTGATATCCTTCAGATTATTATTGCTCTTTATTTCATAAATTACGGTTTCATATTTTTAATTTTATAATTTTTGCATGCCATCTTACCAGATTTAAATTGATGATCTATATTCCAGAATCGCCGAAGTCCTGAAGCGTCTGGATTTAAAGACTTTGTACTGTAATTATTTACATATGATCATATATGTTTGTTCTGCATGTGTTGATAAAAAAATTAATATGTAAGGGAAACAGAATAAGTTATCATCATTTAATTTCAAGCTTTGTTCCATAGGGAAGTTGTCTGTAAAAATTTAGTAAATTTTCATAGTTTGTTTAATCTAAGTTTATGTTAAAAATAAGTTGTTTATTGGTTAATTCAAAATAATCCGAAAAAACCCCTAATCCGTAATCGCCGAATTCTCGACGTGTCCGGATTAAAGACTTTGTACTGTACAATATGCATTAAATAGGAATGAAAGTCTAAAAAGCTGTGAATAAGAAAATTTTTTACAAATGTTTGTCATACTAGTTCAAAACTAGTATTAAAAGAAAGTGAAATATGTGCTCAAAACATACAAATGTAAATAAAGCAGAAAAATTTGCAGAGATTCATGATCCATGTCTGTTGTTGAAAGAAAGTGCAGAAACAAAAGTGTTAAATAACTTGGACAATAAAATAAATTAGCTTTTTCAATCATATCTTAAATATAATGCGTTTTTATTAAAAAATTATTTGGTTATGCATATAGTAATAAAATATTATTAAATTTGCAATTCTGAATTTTTGAAAACTTAAATTTGATTTGCTTACATTGCAAAACTGAGCATGGTTTATATGTATTCATGGATTAAATGGTTATGAATTAATGAAACAGTAGTGTAATTTAGTAAAGTCTGTTTAATCAATAATTATTTTCAGTATTTAAAACATTTTAATCTTTTGAAAATATTTTTAAAAAATTGGTATTTGTGGTGTAGAATGATTTTGTATCAATACTTTTAAATAACTCTTGTATTTGTGTTTGTTTCTAACTAATCTATGATCTAATGATCAGTATTGAAATGATTTCAAATAAACCCTCTCCCAGCAATTGAAAATGTTAAAAGAGTAATGTTTTAAGATAGTGGCCTAAATAAGAAAATAGAAAATAAGTAGCATTTAGAGTATAATGTTATTAGCAAGCTTTGAAATGGCAGTGTAATTTGGCATTTTAATTTTTTTTTTAAATGCCATAGCGTGAAAAAGTTATACCCTATGGCCAAATATATTCAGATATCTGTCTGAAGACGTGAATGTGGCTACTATTGTGATGTAAAATGTAACTTCAATTAATATGAGAATTTTGGTAGTAACATTGGGAAATCATGCAGTACTGCTCTGTTATTTGGACAGAATTCAGGAGTGTTTGTATGTGTGCACATGTGTATGTGCATATATGTATGTGTATACACACACACACATATGCATGTACACTGCTCAAAAAAAAAAAAAGGGACAGTCCTATATTTCCCGATCTACTGGGCCGATTGACAAAATTCAAATTGCGTTTTTCATGTCTCGAAAGCGCGACTTAGGATATATATTAGATTTATATATAGCACTATTCTAACATAGGTATTTTGACACAAAAATCGGACTTTTTCTGAAATAACATACCAATTTTTTTCCATATTTCGATTCTACGTCTCAAATTATGCCAGAATACCAAGTTTTGTAAAATTCGTACGAGTAGTTTTTAAAATATTAGCTCTCAAAATTTTAGCTCCTCAATGTTAATTGAATTTGGCAAATATTTATTAATATCTCTTTTTTATTAAACTTTTTTGATTTTTTCTCTCACATTTCGAAATTTAGGTTCATTCCAAATAAAATTTACCCATTTTTTGTGTTTTTTTTTTTAAATAATTTTTATAAATTTTTCGAAAAAAATTTTGAATTATAACCTATAAAATTTTTACCATCATCTTAAAGTAGGTGTATTTTTAAGCATATCTGCAAAAAATTAGACTTTTTTATTCAAAATTTTCTAAGATATACACGAATTTACATATTTTCGAGTTTTGAAATTTGGCATCTTTTTTTTGAGCGATAATAACGCCAAATGTGGTCTATGGATTTTTGTTACAGTGAATTGCCACAGCTATTTTTAACCTTAAATTTCAAGTAAGATTTTACGGAGAATTAATTATATGACATTTTTTCCCTCAATGAAGCGTAATAAATATTTATTAATACTATATGAAAAGCTATTTTTTTAATTATAGATCATATTATTCAAATTTTTAACTATTTTTTTAAAAATTTCTCTCTATCTTCCTTTTTTAAAAAAAATAAGAGTAAATTTTTACCTTCGGCGTTTTATCGTCTGCTACTTTACTTCGTTTAAATCGAATTGTCTAAAACTGAGAATTTTCGTTTGATATTTATTTGAATTTTATGAGATTAACTGCATAATTTATTTCTAAACAAACTGTTGCTTTTGAAGTGGTTGAAAGAGCGGCTGATACTATCATCCACATTTTTAAAGCACAGTATATTTTTATAGAAACATAATATTTAGAATAATCATTTTTATAAAAGTCAAATTATGATATAAAACATACAGCCCTCTAGAGACTGAATTAATGGAATTCCAATGGTTATGTAGAAATGATCTGCAGCTACTTAATGGCTGGATAAGTCAGCAGATTCTGTGGACAAGTAAGAATAATTATATAAACGCCACCCAACATTCTGGATTCAATTCACAACGAGGATACGATGTTTATTAAATGAATTTAAGAAATTTTAAAACATAAAAAATTCAACTCATTTTTATCCTAAAATGTATTTTTGTGTGTAGCGTATTTTCATTATATCCTTAAAATTCTAATTTAGAATGTAATTGTCAAGAACTGAATCCTAATCATCAGTAATGTAATAAGTAATTATTACGGTTATTAATAAATCCTTCTTATAAAGTAATTGCAAATATTTCAAAAAAACTTTCTGTCTGAATGCAAATATATTTTAATTTTATATTAATCAAGATTGCACACGATATTATTTTATTTGCACTTCAATTCTTACCGTCAGTTTAGTAGAAGTTACAAATCAATTATATTTAATTAAGGAATGACCATCTAAGTTTAGAAACAGCGTACCGTAACATCGATTCAGTTATTGGCGTATCTTTCATGTTACTCCTGATTGGCAAGCTAAATGATTTTTAATGAGTATTCGAGTTTTGCTAGTAACTTCACTTGGAAATCACGCTTAAACTAGATTAGTTGGTTATTTGAACATAGAAAGAACATGGGAGCTATTTGGTTAAGATGCTTTCATAGAGAACCTAGAAAACTACGAAAACCAACCATGCAGCCTGGGTTAGACTTCGCAACAAACAATTAGTATTTAACAATCTTCAAATGCTAGGCAACTGGTGAGGCTCCAATTAAATCTCCAATTTAATATTTTATTTGTAAATATTTAAAATATTGTTGTA